TCTTCTTCTGGTACCCCTATAATGTGAATATTGTTCTGTTTGGATTGGTCACACAGTTCTCTTAATATTCTTTCTTTCCTGGAGATCCTTTTATATCTCTCTCTGTCTCAGTTTCTCTGTATCCCTGTTCTCTGATTTCTATTCCATTAGCGGTCTCTTGCACCTGATCCAGTCTGCTCTTAAGTCCTTCCAGGGATTGTTTTATTTCTGTACTCTCCCTTCTAACTTGGTCCTTTAGCTCTTGCATATTTCTCTGCAGGTCTATCAGCATGGTTATGACCTTTATTTTGAATTCTTTTTCAGGAAGATTGGTTATATCTGTTTCCCCTTGTTCTCTCTCAGGGGTTGTCTGGGTAATTCTGGACTGGACCAATTTATTCTGCCTTTTCATGGTAATAATGGTAGTTGTAGGCAGGTGGCATGTGTGTCAGGTGGGAGAACAAAGTCCCTTTCTGTTTGCTGTTTGCCCTGCCCCTCACCGTTGCCTGTGTCATTTACCCGCACACCACGAGCAGCCCTCAGGGTAGCCCAGAGCCTGTTGGGATTGGCAGACACACTGGGTGTGCTCTCCTGAGAACGGCATCCCTTCACACCCTGCCCCAGCCAGCCGCTCACCAGTGGCAGCCCCGGGTCTGGCTGGGTGGACGCATGCCAGGAGGAGACTCTGGGCAGCTGCTGTGGGTGCAGCCACTCTCAGGCTGCTCAGCTGCTGTAGCGGGGCCATGCCAGAGGGGAAATGAACAGCAGGCTGTTTATTGCTGTGAGGCATTTCAGAGCTGTGCTGCCTCCCAGGGGGCTGGGGCATCCGAAGCTCCTCAGCATTTCCAGCCTGTTGGGCTGAGTGTGCCCAGATGATTCCGTCCAGCTTTCAAGCCCCTGTCTCTTTAAGACTTTCAAAAAGTACTCACTTTTCTTTTTCCCAGGGGAGCTGGCTGTGGGGACCCGCTCCCAGATTTTACTTTTCCGTTTCCCTAATATCCAGTACACCATGCGATGTGTGTCTGTGCTCCTGGTGTGGATCACTAGGGCTGGTTATTTAGCAATCTAGCACTTCCACTCCCTCCCCACTCTGACTCCTTTCCTCCCACCAGTGAGCTGGGGTGGGGGAAGCCCTCAGGTCTCACCAGGCCACGGCTTGGATCTTACCCCTTTCCTGAGATGCCGGGTTCTTGCAGATGTAGATGTAGCCTGGCTGTTGTACTGTCTCCTCTGGTCTCTCTTTTAGGAATAGTTGTATTTGTTGTATTTTCAAAAATATATATGGTTTGGGGAGGAGATTTCCGCTGTCCTACTCATGCTGCCATCTTGGCTCCTCCTACTGAATTGCTTTTTAAAAACAATTTCTATGACTTTTAATTGTATCTTTAGTCTCTTACACCGAAAAATTTTAATTCCTAACAACAGTTTATCATAAGTATTTCATCCTATAATATAAAGAAAATACCTAACAACACCAGTATTACCATTTATACTAAAACTACTGGAGTTTGCATTTCTCTGCAGTTCTTTTGTCCTGGAGTGTATCCCACTAAGAATGTACAAAGTACTATATTCTAAAATCTGTACCTTGTTTATTCCCTTAACAATATATATCAGAGATCTCTATAATCGTTGATCAATTCATTCTTCATTGGTTAACCAAATATTCTTTATGGTTCTTTATAATGAAGAGTAACAAAACCTCCTTCTATTTTCATATCTTTCTAACTGGACTAAATCCACATCTTCCTGCTGGTTTGGATTAGAGACCCAGTTGGACATTGATGCAATGAGTCTGCTTAGCTGTAAATACTTCCCATTTCATAAACGTTCAATAGCTTCCACTTATCTATTATATAAAACTCAAATTGTTTTGTCAACCATTGTTTTGGCTCCTGCTTATGTTTCCAGTCCTATTTACACTAAACCTTTATTAGTAGTCTGATACATGGCCTGATTCAAAAGGGGCCTAAACAAATGAGTCTCCCACCCTCTAAAATGGGACTCTGAACTAAAATGAGAAGAGAGTTGTATTCAGTGCTGCCTAGTTACAGGGTTGATTAGTAGGAGTTGGGAATGGTCATGAAGGGAGACCTGACTTCAGCTTATTTTGGATTCCCGACATCCTTCTTATTTATCTTAAAATAAATCCCCTTTTAAATTTTAGTTATGGTTTCTGTTTCTTTCAACCAAAAGAACACTGACCTGAGTCCAGGCACTGAGGAACCACTGAAAGATTTTATGTTGGGAAGTAATCATCAGATTAATAATACTTAAGGGATGGTTGGAGAAAGAGATCACATGGGATGGAGACTGAGAGGCCAGATGAGTAGGAGAAAAACTCAGTGGAAAATTGTGTTAAAGAAAACAATACTGTGTTTTAAGGATGTGGCACATGCAGCAGAAAGATCAAGTAAGACTATAGAACGTCATTTGGATTTGGTAACTAATCTAAAGTTACCTTTGCAAGAGCAATGCTAATGGAGTGGGGATGGAGGAGAGAAAAATTACAATGTCTAGAGTCCTGGATGATAGGTTAGGAATTGCAGGTAAATATAGAGCACACCTTGGAACCCTGGCTGAGTTGAGAAGGCATTTGCTACAGGTGATAGCTTCAGGGAGGATTTTTCTTTTTTAAAATTAATAACACGTAAGCATATTTGTATGCTAGGGAGAGGAGCAAAGAATGAGAGAGACTGATAGAAATTTAAACTTGATAGAACTAACTTCCTGAAGAGAAAGGAAGGGAAGGGACCTAAAACACAACTAAGAGGGATTTGCTTCTGATGTCCACTAAGGACACCAAGATACAATAATAATGCTTACTATGTGCCAGGCATTGTTCCAAGCACTTTAGATGTATTAACTGAACTGATGGATATGATGAACTTGGGAATGAAGACTTGAAGGCATGTGCACTGAAAATCAAAATGTCTGAGTATGAAGATAAAATGATGTACTAATGACTTGCTAAAAGAGAAGGAAGAAGAGAAACCTCTTTCTTCCTTTGTAAGTCTTCTAATTCCTTGCTAGTCAAAGTGTAGTCAGCTGACCAGCATCTCTGGCATCACCTAGGATTTTGTTAGAAATGCAGAATTTTGGGCCCCACTCCAGAACTACTTAATCAGAATCTCCAAATGATTCATACACACATTACCGTTAGGAAGTATTGAGATAGATGAGTGTGGATTTAGCCTTTATTTGTGCTGGACACAGTATGCCAAGAGATACAAGGGGCATTCTGTGATGTTCTTGAGCTCCCAGACTCAACGTATTCCCTTTGATAACTTCTCTGATGTCACCATCATTCCCTGATAACTTCAGTCTTTTTCCAAATGATCCGTCAATCACTGCACTATCTCCTCCCTAATTTCTTCCAACAACCCAGGTGCTCTCACATCTGAACATCAAGGTGTTGCAAGAAAATATAAGCTTCCTTTCAGTTTTAAAATTCTTTGATATACTGTGTCATAGACAAACTTCTTCAGCACAGAAAAAACACCAGAAAATCAGCCCAAGTAAAATAAAATTTAGTCAGTGCCAAAAATAATTGAGGAGAAATTTGCAGTTAACTACACACAACGTATGCCACCCCCCAACCTTCTTCTCTTGGGTCAGCTTTAAAGTCATATCGTGTCTTTTTTCTCGGAATGGAAATGACATTCCAATTTTTTGAGGTGCCTATGCGTTCTTATGAATGGGTTTTTGAGCTACCCTTTACCCCCTTTTTTGTGCAAAACCACACCGAAATTCTTCAAAATGTATTAAATCAGTTGAGGGTCTGAGTGGACGCTTGAGTTAGAGTGCCTTCTCCCGTTAACGTGGAACCAATTTCCCAAGGGGAGGTTCTGGGGAGCGAGGGAAGTCTGCGTCAAACTGGTCACGCAGCCTATCTGTTGGGGGCATCAGTGCTAATGGAAATTTTGGCGTCGTTTTTTAAAGACTAGCGATGCTTTTGTGATTTAGGCTTTCATTTTATACCAGAACTGAATCTTGCCGACCTGCTGATTTTTTCCGAGCCGGTGGTTTTAAGCGCTGGTACCTGCTGGGCTGACGCTGGCGGTCAAAAACGGGTGAAAAAAACATTTGTTCCCTCCTCAAGCGAGCTGATCCAGAGAGCTGCAAATGTGCTCTATTGCCGCTGGCAGAGCCGAATTTGCGGTGGCCTGAGGCATTTCAAAATTGAACGGGAAGGGTTTTTAAGCTGTGGAGGGAAAGGTGTTGGTTCCATGTCAGCCGCTGGCCCCCGGGCTCTGACGCGCCCCTCCCGCCGTCGGGTCAGCCCCCATCCCTAATCACCTCCCCCTCTGCAGGTTAACCCCCGCCCCCGGCCCCCAGCCCTTTCCTCTCCTCGCCTCGGCTCCAGAGCCCCGCCCAGGCCCCCACGTCCCCCATCTCCCTCCTCCTCTCTCCCTTCGGCCTGCCTCTCGTTGACCGTTCCTCCCCCTTCCTCGCTTCCCTTCTCCCTATCCTCTCCCCCCTCCCCCCCCCCCCCCTGTAGTCTCCAGCCCAGCCTAGCTTGCTTTCTCTCCTAATTTCTCCTCAGATTCGCGCTCCCGCTGCAGACGCCACCTCCTGTCTCAGCTAGGGCCCCGGAGGAGGCGCGGCCGACCAGCTGCGCGCAGGCGCACTGCGCGGCGGGCGCGCGGGCAGGCCGGGCGTCCGCGCAAGCGCGCGCTGCTTGTGCTCCGCTCTGGCGCGGGCGGCTGGTCGTGCTTTGGCTGGCTGGGGCAGGGCTTGCGGCCCCGCGGCGGCGGCGGCGGCGGCCGCATCGGTACCATGTTTCTTCACTCAGTCAATCTCTGGAACCTGGGGTTTTATGCCCTCATGGTCTTCATGGCGACGCTGGGGCTGTGGGACGTCTTCTTCGGCTTCGAGGAGAACAAGTGCAGTATGAGCTATATGTTTGAGTACCCGGAGTATCAGGTGAGGTTCCGCCCTCTCCGCACCTGGGCGCTCCGCGACCCGGGCTCCTCCTGCCTGGCCCTTCGGTGGGTTTCCGCTGCCTAAGCTCTCCGCGCCTCTCCTGCTCCCTTATCCCAACGTCGTCTCTGTTTTCCCCGCCCCGGAAGACTCTGCAGACCCCACTGCCCCCCTCACCTGCCCTTTGTGTCCTCTCTGAGCCGTGGTGTGTTTGATTGATGGGTTCCCCAAGCGCCCTCCCCGCCCGCTCGTAGCCGATTCCCCGTCCCTCCGTCCCCTTCCCTGCCCAAATCCCAAGACAGACTGTCATGCCTGGTCGGCCCCAACCCCCCTCGTGTCCACGCAATCTCAGCCCCTCTCCCTAAACCCAAACCCCATCTTCCCTGCGTTCCAGCTTTAACAGGTGCCCTGGACCTTCCTTTACTTCCCACGCGTGCCAGTCCTCCCCTCCCGCCCAGTGATTTGCACGTCGCTCTCGCTTTTCTAGAGAGACCGAGCTTCAGCCGAGTGTGTATTGGCTGGATAGTTCCATAGGCTACTTTAGCGACCCCAGGGTTTTACCTCGGTGTGAAAGGCGAAACTGATGAGTAATAAAATGGAAAAATACTGAGGATCCTTTCTGTAAAGTTTTGCCGAGCCTCCTGCTTTGTAGGTTATGTGACGGTGCGTGTGCATGCATGCCTGTGTTTGTACATGTCGCCTCTTACCAGTTGCATACAAAATCTATTTCATGGTATTATTTTTGTTTTCCCAGTGTTTGCAATTTTAGATAGACCCGGCCCTTTTTTCTCTCTCGCCCTGTGCCCCCTCCTCTAACGTTCCATTTTGAATATTTTCTGTCACTGTTGCTTCATCAGTTCAGCATAGTAGAATCTAGAATTTAATTCACGACCAGATGTGAAAAGAGGTGGTAACAAATTACACAGCTGCCCAAGGAAATTTCTCCCGAATGATTATTTTATTTTTAAACCCATCTCAATTATGGAATGCATATTGTAACTGCCTGCCATAAAAAGTATATGTACTACAATGCATAAGTGATAAACGCATTTTTAGTATACTTTTAAAACCACAGCAGATTTTTTCTTTAAGGTGGAGGATGCAAATTGTGATTGCTTCTGTGTACAGGTCATTGTGGAGGAGTGTATTATTTGATTATGCTGCTATTATTTAGATCTTAAAAACTACTTAAGGTTTCAATTGCTGAAGAGCATCCTTTCCCTTGGGCAAATTCTAGTTTAGATTTCATTTACTTTGAGATCCTTATCTGGTTTTACATCAGTGTTTATAAAGGAGTGGAAACATTTGATACCAGATGCTATTGAAGAAGATTTTAGCATGTTAACTGTTGTCTCTTAATTTCTAAGCTAATATTCTGATTTATATATATCAGAGACTACAATATATAGTTAAATAAGTGGGCTTTAGTTTAGATTTTTTAAAACTGAAAACAGCCTTTAGTGGTTTAATAATTAGGAAATTCCCAAAAGATTCAAATAGGTCAGTTTAGTTTTGTACTGCTTGGAAGAGTTTGATTAAAGTAAAATTAATTATTTTGGAACAGTGCAGTAGTAATTCCCATTTATTTTTAGATTACCCACAATTATTGAGGCTATTTTAATATTTACAGTAGTAGAAATTGCTTAGTGTTGGAAACAAAGCATATGGACCTCACAGATGCATTTCGTGCCTCATAAAATTGACTGGAAAGACAAAATTAGTGGAGCTAATGAATGTAAAGAGCTATTTGGCTTTGTTTTTGTTGAGTAATCAGTATTTCGTTATTTTGATTCAGATTGCCTTTTTACACTTCTGTTAATTTGTTAGTACAGTAATAATTACAGTGGCAAGAGTTTTTGATCCACATTTTCAGTAGATTTTTATTTTTATGATGTAAAAAGCTGTATTAATTCACTATTGTGTATTTGACTCTTAGTCCTTTTATTGTACACACTGCCATGATATTTTACAAAAACAATTAAAACCTGCCTATAGAACTGAGTTATTTTGAATATAGTGAGATTTCTGGATAACTGAGGTCATCTGATTAAGAATCAATGGTTTTTAGTGAATGAAAGTGTTCTAAACATATTCTATATATTGTCTACTTTTAATTATATTTTATAGAAACTCTAATTGTTCACAGGTTGATATCCAGCATATGGGATGGTCTAGTCATTGGGTTTTCTTCTATCTCTTGATGACTTTCTTCTTTTTACTGCTATTTTCATGTTCTTTAGGTAAATTTTAGAGGAAATGAAAGGTGGTTAAACACACTCAATTTTACTTTCCATTTAAAAAATGGAAATTGAACCTCTTTGTTAAAATAAGTTTTGAATTTAAAATTGTTTGATTACCTGTATTAATTTTTTACCTTTGTATTTCCTAGATTTGCTTATTCAGAATTAACTGAACATCTTACAAACCTATCAGGCAAAATACACATTATCCTTTTAAGCTTCTTGCTTTATGACAATAAGGCAAAGCTTTTATTTGGTAGCAAACAGTCTTAGGCAGATTGTATATAGTGCAGGAACAAGAAAGCTGCAGAAATAAAGAATAGTACTGTGATGGTGGGAAAGCACCAGAACACATTGCATAAGCAGTATGTATAGTATGTTATCATTTATGTAAAAAGGAGAAAATAACCTATAAACACATTTACTTGTGTATACGTAAACTATTTCTGAAGCACAAAACTGCAAACATTGGCTAACAGACCACATGTAGGAGAGAGCCTTTTCAGTGTATACCCTATTGAATCTTGAATTTTGAAATTTACTAAAAATAAATTTCAATACATGGCATGTGTAAGTTATAAGAATGTAAGAATAATTACATCCAGATTTTAAAGGACCTCTCTCAGTCTTTTATTATCTGTATATGCAGTGAGGGAACACATGAGGTGTATATTTTAGTAAGGTATTTCTTGATAGCAGAATGGACTGTGGATTGTAGCAGGGAGATTACAACAGGGAGAGAGATGAGTCAGTTGTTAGTCTTTTTATCAAGTTGGAGTCCTCAGGAGTATCCTTGGGGACGGGGGTGGGGGAAGCAAAGGGCTGGGAGCTCTTTAAAACTATGTTCATTTTGATCAAAATCTTTTTTTTTAAATTTTTTGGTTAATTTTGGAGTTCAGACTTTAATTTTTCAGATTTTAATTCACAACTTAAAGATACATATCATAAAGACTTTAGTTTCTTAAATCAGTATTTTTCTAGCACTTGTGAATTTGTTAGAATTTTTGTCTTTTGAAAGAAGTCTAGGTTAAAAAAACCGGTACTAAGGCAGAGTCAAGAGGAGTCAGAGGATGGACAGCAAGGGCAGGATTGTGGAACTAAAATTTAAGTTACTGATCTTAATTAAAGATCTTTTTTGGGGGGATGGGAGCTCATTTAAAATAGTCTATAGGAAAGCATCAATTTAAAATATATTGGAGTCCTGTTGCTATAGATGTTTCTTTATAAATCCCTTGACCCTCTTCTGTTTTTTCATCAGCATCTTTTTATGCCTACACCTTTTCTGTCCTTAATCTGGACAATACCCTTCCTGTCTCTTCCTGTTACTCATTCCCAACTTGAATTCTGGAAATGCAGGTTCCTCATTTGCCTTATTACCTCCCACTTTCTTTGTTGTTCTACCTCTTTTTTTTCCCCCTCTTTATATTCTTTCCTTTCCATATTGTATGCATTCATATTTTTAAAAATGTATGCTTTGTAACTACAAAATTGCTTTCATAATACTATATTATGAAATATATCAAATATATTGTTTGTTTTTCTGTCTCCAGAGAATTAAATATTTTTTGATATATTTGATAGTTTCCTGTTCTTCTGAATTAATTTGCGGCTGGCTCAGAATTTTGTTTAGCCAAAGTCCTACAAAGAATAATGATCTAATGTCCATGTACTGTTATAGCAAATGGTGTACTAACTTGGGAGGAGTTAAGACAACTGTTTCCTTGTTATCTCGTATTTTCTTGTTGCTTAATTTTTACCTAAAGAAACAAAATACTGTGTTATTTTCATTTTTTATTGTTCACTGTGCACAATCAATGTTGAGACTAACTTGGGTTGAAATGCATGTACATATATAAAGCAGGTACTGGGGTTGGTATTTCTGTGTTTGGTATTTGAGGAGATAAAGTTGCTAGCATCTTAAGCAATAGGCATACAGTCTCTAAAGATGTTTATATGGCAATATTAGCACATATTGTTTATGGCAAGATCCTTAAAGGAATATTCAGGAAGGGGCATGAAGATCAGAATTCTACTTTTTAGAACAGTAAGGTTTTTCAGTAGTCATTACCATTTATAGTTTTTAAGATTAAGTAAGAATTTTTATCAATCAGTGTACCCCCTTGCTTGACCATTAAATCTATTGGTGGGTCTACTTAAATGAAATCTACTGTTCGATGTAACTGATTTTATTTTTAATGGTTTCTATTCTATCAAAATGCATAAAAAGAGTTTATACTTTACTGTCACTTTTTAGATGGCTACCTTTTTGGGATGACATTAAGATATAATTTATACTTTGTTGAAAAAAATTGGATGACATGAATTAGTGGCTCATTTGGTATACAATAATGTGAATTTTTGCAGAGTCATCTAAGTCTTGCTGACAAACCATGTGCCTGTTCAATGAAAACTGAAACAGATGCTAATTCATTGAAATGTTTGTGGTGAGAAGAGTGTACATATCTTGACCAAGACATGGCTATAAGGTTCAGATTAATTTGTTAAACACATTGTAGGTCAAAGCATATTAAGTGGAGAGGTCAGAGAACTGCATTATCAAACAAACTTACTTTCCTTTGAGTGATGTAACAGCTACAATAAAGAGTTGGGCCTGAGTACAAGGAGAGATATTGCAAAACAGTTTAAAACAGCAAAAAAGAATTGATTTGATAATGGAAAGCTTTTATCATTTCTAAGTATAATTAGTATTGATACCAAATTAAATGCATTTCCAATTATGTTAACATGTTACTTGCTGACATTTACCAGTGTTTTTCTGTTGTCAGTGACTATTTTTAGTAGTTTGTATCATTAAAATTTAAGGTAGTCCTACTTTGTGCTTTCCCAAAGACTGCATGATTGAAAACTCACATAATTCAAAACTAATTCTCCATATGAATAAATTAAAAGTAGAACTTGTTTTGGGCATTAAATGTAATTTATCACCAGTAATATTTTTATATTGTAGTAATTTGAATTTGTATAATTCATAGGTGGGTACAGTGAGGGCGAATTGTATTAATAAAGTTGACTGAAGTGAAATCACCCTTTCTTTTCTGTAGAAAATAGAACTTCCGAAGAAATTGGCAAAACGTTATCCTGCATATGAATTATATCTTTATGGTGAAGGATCCTATGCTGAAGAACACAAAATCCTCCCTTTGACAGGTATTCCAGTTCTGTTCCTTCCTGGTAATGCTGGAAGTTATAAGCAAGGTAAGTCTTGGAAGTAAATTTTGAAAGGTATAAAATTTAGTTGAAGAATTTACCAGATACATACTTTATATTAAAGTACTGTGCTAGTCATATTGGGAGACACAAATATATGACATTTTGTCTGAAAGAAATACATGTGAGAAGTATATAGGAAAGAACAGTTGAAGACTACTTTGCAAAGAGTAAGAAGGAAAAAAAGAATAATATGGAGTACGGTGGGATAAATAGATGGTATAGGAATTCAGGAATTAACAGAAGAAAAAAAGATTTATGTTGTAAATGGAGGATGGAGAAAATAGAACCTGAATCACTGATTAAAGAAGTAAATCAGTGGTTTTTGTTATGAACAAGAGACAAGATTGATCTCTTTCTTTTGGAACTATTTAAATTTGATCTAGAAATACTGAGGCAGGCACCAAAAAGTGACAGTAGGGTAGTTATATGTACAGATTCCAAATTGAATATTGGCTTGGAGATACAGCAGTTATTTCTGGCATAATGACCCAAGTAATCTAGAGGTAATTTTATCTAAAATCTGCTTTTTTTGTTGTTAATGAGGACAGAATTATTTCAGCATTTAGTATAATTACTTACATGCTTTTTATCTACCAAATATTTATGGGGTACCTACCATGATCCAGGCAGTATTCTAAGTATTAGGGATATAAAGCAGACATAAAGTCTCTTCATCAAACTTATGTTGTTGGGAAGATGCCCATCAAACAAATATGTCAGTAGTGTTAAAAGTAAGAAAAATAAGAGTAAGGGATAGAAGATAAACAGGATCAGGAGGTACTAGTTTAGATGAAGTTGCCAGGAAAGGTCAGTATGAAGAGATGACATTTAAGCGGAGGCTTAATGTAGCAAGGAACTGAGGTATGTGACTGTTGTGGGGAAGACTCTGAGGCAGGAACATGCATGGTGCATTCACCCTTGAAGTGTGAAGGGGAAAAGGGAAACTGTTGGAGGGTTTTGGACGGAAATGATGTAACCTGATTTTTTTTTGTTAATCATTGTAGTTGAAATATAACAGACACAGAGAAATGCATAGAATATAGATGTTCAGTTAAACATTATTATAAAGTAAATTTCCATAGAACTGAAACCCAAGTCAAGAAGTAGATTGCCAGTATCAGGAAACACCCTGTATGGCTCTTCCTGCTTAAACCTCTCTCCTCTCTTTCTAGACAGAACTACAACCCTAACTTTAAGGTAGTAATTTTTTTGATGTTCTTTATAGTTTTAGTATCTACGCATGAATCCCTAATACAATCTACTTATTTAGGGTTATTTTAAAACTTTGTAATAGAAATATAATCATTCCTTATGTTACTCCTTTGTATCTGGCTTCTTCCACTCAACGTTGTATCTAAAACTTATCCCAGTTGTTGTATGAGCTGTGATTCACTCATTTTCCTCTATATTACTCAGTTGTATGACTATACCATAGTTTAAACATTCTGTCTTTTGACACTTGTTTATATTTATTAGCAATTACAAACAATGAATATTTTTCTTATTTTGGAACATATAAGTCCATGTTTCTGTAAGATGCATACCATAGGGTAATTCTATTATGTGTGTCCTTTTATTTTTACTGCTTGTCCTAACTTTTACTCCCAGAAACAGTATACTTCCCTTTTCCACATCCTTGACAACATTAGAATGGTTAGACTTTTATATTTTAAACTGGTAGCTATGATTTATTTTTAGAAATTGATCACTCTGACTTTGCTGTTTGGAAAATATGCTGTAAGGGGCAAAAATGGAAGAAAGATACTAATTGTCATTAGTCATCAGGGAAGTACAAATCAAAACCACAGTGAGATTCCTTGTTGTACCTGCTAGAGTAACTATAATCTAAGAGACAGATAATGACAGGTGTTATTGAGAATGTGATGAAATTGAAACCTTCATACATTGCTGGTGGGAATACTGTCAAACACTTTGACAGTTTGGCAGTTCCTCAGAGTATTAATATAGAGATTTATGACCCAATAATTCCAGTATTGATATATTCCCAAGATAACATCCACATAAAAATTTGTTTATAAATGTTTTTAGCAACAATATTCTATATAGCTAAAAGGTGGAAACAACCCAAATGTCCCATCAACTAATGAATAGATAAGTAAAATGTGATATATCCATATAATAAAATACTATTCAGCAATAAAAAGAAATGAACCACAAAGAATATCCTTGAAGAAAATAAAGGCTGTAAGCTCCTTGACATTGGTTTTAGTTATGTCTTTGTGGCTTTCACTCCAAAGGCAAGGGAAACAAAAGCCAAAATAAAAAAGGGGGCTGTATCAAACTAAAGAGCTTTTGCACAGCAAAGGAAACTGCCATCAAAATGAAAAGGCAGCCTACTAAATGGAAGAGTATATTTGCAGACCGTATATCTAATAAGGGGTTAATATCCAAAATATATAAAAAACTCATACAATTCAACAACAAAAAAATACAACTTGATTTAAAAATGGGGCAGAAGAGCTGAATAAACATTTCTCCAAAGAAGACATACAGATGGCCAGCAGGTATATGAAAAGATGCTCAATATCACCAATTATTAGGGAAATACAAATCAAAATCACATGAGATGTCACCCTCATACCTGTTAGAATGGCTGTTCTCAAAAAGACAGGTAAAAACAAGTGTTGGCAAGGATATGGAGAAAAGGGAACTCTTGAACACAGTTGGTTGGGTCATAAATTGATACAGCCACTATGGAAAACAATGTGGAGATTCCTCTAAAAATTAAGAATAGAATACCAAAAGACCCAGATACTCCACTTCTGGGTATTTATCCAAAGAATACTAAAACAAATCATTATGAAAAGTTATATGTATCCTGTAGTAATTGTAGCATTATTTATAATGGCCAAGATGCAGAAATAATCTAAGTGTCCATTGATAGATGAATGGATAAAGAAGATGTATTTTTATGCAATGGACTACTACTCAGATGTAAAAAAGTGAAATCTTAAATTTTATGTTTTGTGACAACATGGCTGGTCTTTGAGGGTAGTTTGCTAAGTGAAATAAGTCAGATGATGTGACATCATGGCTGGACTTTGAGGGTATTTTGCTAAGTAAAATAAGTCAGATGAAGAAAGACAAGTACCTTATGATTTCTCTTATATGGAACCTAAAAAAACAAAACAAATGAACAAACAAAACAAAAACTCATAGATACAGAAAATAGACTAGTGGTCACCAGAGGGGGAGGGGGCCAAGTGTATGGTGATGGATGGTAACTAGACTTGTGGTAGTGATCACTTTGTAGTGTTGAATTCACCAGATGTTGAATCATAAAGCCATATACCTGAAATGTACATAATAACTTTAAAAAGTAACATGAATTACATATTAACAATGTGGATGAACCTTGAAAACGTTGTAAGTGAAAGAAGCCATTCATAAAAGACCACATATAATCCCATTTTAGAAAAATCCTGAATAGGCAAATCCCTCAGGGCAGAAAGTACATTAGTGCTTTCCAGGAATAGAAGAGAAGAGGAATGAGGAGTGACTGCTGATGAGTACAGGGTTTTCTTTTTGGGGTGATTAAAAAATGTCTAAAGTGAGATTGCAGAAATGATTGTACAACTCTGTGAATATACTAAAAATCGTACACTTTACATGGTGAGCTGTATAGTATTGAATTATATATGTTAAAAAAATGGAATGGCAAACAGAAGTATTTTGTTTGTAAAATCGTATATGTACTGTGACTTTTAATGTCAACTAATAAAATCAATTAACAAAGAATTCTGTGAAAAGATTTATAAAACAAAACCTACAATGGGAAAAGCAGGGAGACCAGTTAGGAATATATTAGAGTAGTCCAGGCAAGACATGATGGTGCCTGGATTAGGAAGATAGCGGTAGAAATGGTGAGAAGCCTTGATTGGGGATATATTAGGAAGGTAGAGCACGACAGGATTTACTGATGGAATAGATGTCATATGTAAGAAAAAGACAAATCAAGCATGAATATCTAAACCAAATGATGAGCAGACATTTCTTGTAGGAATTTTCTTCCTCTTAAAATCTTCAAGTGTGACAAAATTCCTATTTCTTACTCTTCAAAGAATCCCCTCCCTCCCTTCTAGCTATTGTTGCACTACTAAAGGAGAAGCAGGTAGAGAATGACCTATTCAATTTTTATGTAATTTAAAAAATATTTAAGGCACAAGACATAACAACTGCTAGGTTAGTTCGTTCTTCTAAATTGATACTATTAAATGATGTCAACCTGAAATGGGTTGTTTATGTTCATAGTGTGGGATAAAGTTATTTGTTAAGAGACGTTGGAGCAAGAATGGATAAAACTTAAAAAATTTTTTTAATGAGCCCTTCATCCATTTCCTCTGCAGTTCGTTCTATTGGCTCCATTGCACTTAGAAAAGCAGAAGATATTGACTTCAAGTACCACTTTGACTTCTTTAGTGTGAATTTCAATGAAGAGCTGGTGGCATTGTATGGTGGAAGTCTTCAGAAGCAAACCAAATTTGTACATGAATGTATCAAAACAATTCTCAAACTCTATAAGGTAAGAGAGAAGCACACAAATCATTAGTGATCAACATATTAGCATTTTTTAAAAAAGGGACTCAGCATATTTTAAATAATTTATTTATTTATATGGAAGTTGAAGTAAAGATCACACAAAGTTTTCCTGTGGGAGTCTGTTGTTTTGAACACAATGGTGGTTTTGAAATTTTTATTGAATATATAAGAAACCTTGTGAATTTAGGGCAAACATTTTTTTTTAACTTCATTTGAAGTTAAATTAGGAGTGTAGTGCATTTCCTAAAAGCCATTAGTATGGATGTCTGCTTTTAGTTATAATGAAGTAACTGGTACTAAGGTAGACCATTTCCATATATAGACAACCATAAAACTAGACTATCTGAAGCACATGTTTTCACATGTTGGACAACCAAGCAGTAAAAAACGTTGGTCCTGAAAAAAGGAAAACACGTGAGATGAGCTTGATGATTGCCCTGGATTTCTGCAGCAAGAGTTTTCTAGACCATGGGGCAAATAGATGGAGATCAAGTAGAGCACAATGACATCACTGAGATGAAAGGAGAGATTGGAATTTGGGACTGTTGCAGTGGTTTGATTTGTGTGGAGGGTATGAGAAAGATGTGAACTAGACAGAGATAAGTGCTCTAGATTTCTTAATCTTTGAATGCTGTGCTTCATATGCACAGAGAAAGAAGCTGCAAGGCCGTATAGCATACAAGGGAGGAAGTGGTAGGATGTATCAACCTCAGGTGCAAGGAATAGGGGGAATACATGTTTCTAGAAAAATTTAAAAGAGCAGTAAAACAGACTAAAAAGCATTCTGTGCCAGCAATTCTAAGCAGTGTGAGGGATAAATACTACTTTCTATTACCACTTCTCCCTTTAGTATGCCACAGTACAGTCCTGGCAAAAAACAGTTACTGGGGAATTGTGAGCTGAATTGAGATTTCAGAGGCCATGTGGTGCTGGACTCAGAAATGTTGAACAGCTGGAGCAGAAAGACCTTTCTGAACACATTGATATTCAGTCAACACCCAGAAAGGACACAATTTAAGAATAGAACTACTCTAGCCCTAAAGTAAAGAGGATCCACTCAATAATCCAATTGAGCATTATATTAACAATGCTTAAATATTGTCTCAAAAATATTGAAATTAATGATTTAAATTCATAGATGTAGACCTAACAAGGGAACAGACTGGGAGTGTCAGCAGAGACAATGGAAACTATTAAAAAAAGGAACAGAAAGGAAAATCTAGAACTGAAACAATACATATCAGAAATTAAAAATTCAGTAGATAGGATTTAAGTAGACTGAACCCTACAGAACAAGGTCATTGAATTTAGAGATAGGACAATAAAAACTATCCAAAATGAAGCACATAGGGTAAAAGGATAAAAGGGACAGAGTCTCAGGAACCTGTGAGACAGCACTAAGCAGACTTAACATATGTAACTGGAACCCTAGAAGAAAAAAATATTCTAAGAATTATGGCCCCAGATTTTCCAATTTTGATTAAAGATTTTCAAGCCACAGATCCAAGAAGGTCAATGAATGTCAAGCAACATAAGTACAAATCACACATAAGTATATCATAGTCAAATTTTTGAAAACCAAAGTAAGGAAAAAATCTTAAGAACAGCCAGAGAAAAAGGCCCTTTTCTTATAGGGAAAAACAATAAAAATTATCATTGCTTTTCATCAGAAATAATGAAAGCCAAATACAACAGAAAATACCTTAAAGGTCTTGGGGATGGGGCAGGAGAGCAGGACTCTCAACCTAAAATTGCATATCTAGCAAAAATATACTTCAAAAATGAGGACAAAATAAAGACATCGTCCAAGTAACAGAAACTGACAATTTTGTCATTTGTAGAAAGAAAGAAGAAAATAAAAAATTACCATTAGGTCAGCAGTGCAATAATAATTGCTGGAGACAAGATCAATCCATGGATGCTAAAATTAGTGGGTGAAAGTTTGAGGAGAAAAAGGATATTCACATGGTCTCAAAGTCCATTCTAAAATACTGTTTACAAGGGAAAGTAATAACTTTACAGTGGAGAACCTGGAAGATACCATCTTAACTAAAGTTAACATCACCAATTATAAGACGTATGACAGTGTGAACTTCCTTGACATGATGCACTGAGAAGGATGCGACATGATTTCTGTGGCATTATTGTCAAAAATATGTAACTTCTAATAAGAAAAATTCAGACTACCCAAATTGAGAGACATACTACAAAATAACCAGTACTCTTCAAAAGTATCATGGTCATGTTTTCTTCCACCTGCTACTTCTATGGCTTTTCTTCTTCCTTCCTAATCACAACCCATAAATAGAATTCGTGCCTCATATCGAATTTACCGTGTATCACAATTCTTCCAAGTGGTAAAGATACCTCAAGACAAATGCTGGGCATAGAAGCCACAGGGCATAAATATGCAAAGAAGTAAAAAACTAACCTTTTCAAACAATAAGGCTTCTCTCTCACTTACCAACTTTACATTTCCCTGTATGACCCCGGAAGATGACTGGTTAGCCAGAGACGGGTAAGATTCCTCAAGGGAGGAACAACACAGTCGCAGGGGGACCATCAGGTGAGGAATTGGGGATCAACAGAGGTGAGGCTTAGAACCCCCTCCCCCACCCCCCGTTCTGAGAGAAATCTGCTGCATCTGTGGATGTTTTATTGCCCTTGTCTAGCTTGGATTAACACATAGTCTACAGGCACACACCTGATCATCTGCATTTGTTCTCTTACAACACTAAACTATGTTTTCTACCTTTATCTTGCATCTACCTACCACTTCAGCATTTTATTAAAAAAATAAATAATAATAAAGAGAGAAAAAAGAAAAAAAGTATCATGGTCATGAAAAACAAGGAAGGAGTGAAGAACTGTCACATTGTCACAGATTAGAGGTGACTAAGGAGAAATAATATATGCAAGGTGGGATGCTGGATCAAATCTTGAATAGAAAAGGTACATTATAGGGAAAATTGCTGAAATTTAAAGTAGGCTGCTGTTTCGTTAATACTATTGAACCAGTGTTTATTTCTTGATTTTAATATTTATAACATGATTATGTAAAATATATCAGGGGAAGTTGCATGAGAGGTATGTGGGTATTTTTTATAACTTTTCTCTAATTGATTCAAAATAAGGTTAAAACTTTTTATAAATGAAAATGCATTATGAGGTTTATAAGTTTAGAAGGAAAATAGATAACAGTGAAAAGATGGGGAGAGGAGTAAATAAATTATTCTACTTTGGTAACGTGGTATAATATTATTCTTGGTAGACTTAAGGTTACGTATTGTAATTTCTAGAGTAACAACAACATAAAAGGAGATAGAGCTAAAGAACAAATGGAAGAGAAATACTCAATCTGAAAGTGGGAAAGAAAAGAAAAACATGGGACATATAGAAAACAAATGGCAAGATGGTAGAGTTAAATCTAACTATATCAATAATTACATTATTTTTAGATGGATTAAACACTCCATTTAAAAGGGAAGACCTTGTCAGACTGAACTTAAAAAGCACAACCCACCCAAGTATATACTAATGTGTCTATTAGAAAGCCAAAGCCACTTTAAATGTAAATATCCTGATAGATTACAGTAAAAATGGAAAAAATATACATGCGAGCACAGATCAGATGAAAGATGGCATGGCTATCTTAACATCAGTTAAATAGATTCTAGGGCAAAGGATATTACAGGGGTAAAGAGGAATATTTCATAATGATGAAGAGCTCATCAGGAAGGCAGAACAGTCTTGAGTCTGCACCTAGAAACAGAGCTTCCAAATCATGAAGTAGAAACTGACAAATAAAGGAAGAAATAGGTAAATCTACAATGAGAATTGAAGATTCCAACAATCTTCTCTTAGGAATTGATAAAATAAATAGACAAAAAAACAGTAAGATATAGAGGATTTGAACACAATTAACCAGCTTAACCTATTGACATTTATATAGTACTACTCCCCACAACTATAGAAACTATGTTCTCTCTTTAAATGCACATATAACATTTACTAAGATATGCTATATGCTAGGCCATAAAACAAGTCTCTGCAAATTTTAAAGGATTGAAATTGTGGGTTCCTGAAGGTAGCAGAAGTCAGTTAGGTATCAATAAAAATACCTGAAAAATCCTCAAATATTTGGAAATTATCTCTAGGTAACCCAGAAGTCAAAAAGAAAATCACAGGTAGTATTTGAAAATGTTTTGACTGAATTAAAGTGAAAACCTTATCAGAATTTGTAAGGTTAACATAGGGATTAGAAAAAATATTACAGGAGAACAATATTTAAAAGCAGTGGCCTAACCTTGTAATTTAAGAAGCTAGAGAAAGAAGAAAATTAAACTCAAAGTAAGTAGAAGTAAGGAAACAATAAAGATGAGAATAGAAATTAATGAAATAGAAAATAAACAGAAAGTTGATACCAATGGCTGATACTTTGAAAAGATCTATAAATTGACAAGTCCCTAGCTATACTCGTTAAGAAAAAAAAGGAGGGGGACACAACTATCAGGAATAAAAGAGGGGGCATCTCTACAGAGCCTACAGATACTAAGAAGCTACTAAAGGAATATTATGAACAACATAATGCCAATGAATTTGACAACTCAGATGAAATTCATGTATCTCTTGAAACATGTCACAAAACAGACACAAGAAGAAACAATCTCTGATCTATATCTGTCTAAGAATTTTTGGATTTGTAAATAAAAGTCTTGCTACATGAAAACTCTAGAATTAAGTGACTTTAGTGGTGAATTCTGTCAAACATGTAAAGAAGAAATGATGCCTATCTTACACAAACTCCTTCAAAAAATAGAGGAAGAGACCACCTGAGTTCATTTTAAGAAACCAGCAAACAGTGATTGTCTAAATCAGATTATGACATTGTTTGAAAAGAAAATAGAGACCTAGTATCCCTCATGAATGTAAAAATAAATCCTCAACAACAAATGAGGCTGTGAAGAGTGGGGAAAAGACGGT